AATTTTTATTCACTGCTTTTTGCTTTCTTTCCTTCACTTCCACCAGCACTTTCACTGGATAGAGGTCACTTGGTAAAATATCTATTCAAAGAGGTTTGGCTTTGCCTACTTTTTAAAATGTTTCTAAAATGACTTAGGCAAATGTCATTATTCAGAGCAGCAATATGGCCAGTGTGAACCTTTTTGGGATGTTTCTTTTCAATAAAATCAGTCACTTTCTGATAATACCTCGAGATTTCCTTTATCAAGCAAGATCCTTCCACAACAAAGCAAACAGGCGGACTGAGACCGATGAACAGAAGTGAATAAAAAATGGCGCTGTGAACTAATGTAACATCGTATAGTGAGTTTTTGTTCATATTGTGGAACAAAAATATGTTCGAATTTCGTGTTGTATCCTGAAAATTTTGTATGCTGGGGCGTTCGTATCCTGAGGTACCATTGTATTTTTATCAATGTTGAATTAAAACTGCTTTATGCATATAATGAGTTAGTAGCAGACTCATCCAGAGTTGCTGTTTGTGTTTTAGCAAAATCTGCTTCTTGTTTGTCCAAGAATACCTTGTATCCTTAGCCTAAAACTCTCTACTTGTATTCACTACATGACAAACTGTCTAACCTTGATTCTGCATAAAACAATACTATATGATCCAACAAATTCTTTTGGATATTTTAATTAATAACATTGTATGCAGAATCAAAGATTAGACATTTTGTCATGTAGTAAGTTTTCAGACTGTTGTATTTGTGTTTAAATTCAATCCAATCTCATTTCAGTTTTCATGCTCATAGGTATTTTCTCTATCATTCATATCTGTTAATCATTCAATATCATTCATATCAGCTCTCGTTACATTGTGATGCATATAATATAAACATATGTCGATTTCTATTACAAGTCAGTCTCGCTAATAATAGAAAATGTAGTTTAAATATGGTACTTACCAACTGTATTATATAGATTGAAATATTGAGAAATAAAGAACAGATAGATTATGAAGATGCAAATAACTGAGAATGCTTAATTGGAAGAATGGGATAGTGTTGAAAGATAGTCAGTATAGGTCTAATTGATATAAATAATAAATGGAAGAAAAAGATATTTAGATGGTTAGATCATATTGTGAAAAGAGAAGAGACAAAAATTAGCAAAAGAAAGTTAAAAATTTAATTATAATAATTAAGAGAAGTAGAAATAGGATAAAAACTCTGACAGATAGTAGTTAGGAAAGGTATACTAGAGTTAGGGATGGAGGAGAAGAGTAACTAGTTATACAATAGACTGGATATCAAAACTAATCTTAAAGTTAAAATATTAAAATTCAATTTACTTAAACAGGACAATGAAGGGATGATGATAATTTATTTTTATTGATAGATATTTTTATTTATAAAGGTGTAATTTTCTATTTTCTTTTATTTTTTATGAATAACTTTTTGAATTCAAATTCTTAAAATAGTAAATTTGTTTTATTTCTTTTTAGAATATACAATATATATACAGTAGAGCATCGATTATCCGACTCAATTGGGGAGTCCGATGTGATGGTTAATCAGGGGTCGGTTAATCGATGCTCTACTGTATTTCAATAATGAATCTTCTATAGCAGTCATGGCCAACTTATAATGGGAAGTGATTGACTTTTATGAGTCAAAAGCACCAGTAATTTACTCTACATTTTTGTTTCATGAAAATTTAATAATCTATCCTAATGAAATTATTTTGCAAAGTATAGTTGTTTTCATATACTGCACAATAATTAATGTTTCAGATTATCTCCTTTTGGTAAAGACACTAAGATATAAATTAATGAAACCATTTTTTTTCCATTACAACAAAATATTGTATTTCTTTTGTCACAGAAAATATAAGTTTTGCTTCTCTTTGGTACACTCATTTTGCACTGAACTGAATTGTTTATGGTACAATAAAACAATTTTTAAAATAATGACATATCTTGCTAACAATGACCATTGAACACTTCTTCCTGTCCATCTCAGAGCATGGATGGGCAATCTTTTTCTATGTAAGGGCTGCATTTCAAAACTTTTGAACTGATGTGGGCCAAGACCATACAAGACAAAAGGAGAGAAAAAAATGTTGGTAAATCACAATTATTTATTCATATATAATTATAAATTAGCATAGGTATACTTAATTTAGCTTCTGGAACTGATGTAAATATATCAGAAATATTTGGTTAAATATTAATTGCTGCTAGCGTTAAATTAGTTTCGATGTGTCTGTTAGCCAGTTTTTTGTTTTAATTTTTACTAAATTCATTGTGGAAAAACTATTCGCATACATAAGTTGTAGAAAATAACTTTTGAATTTTTGCTGCATACTTCCTTAAGCTGGGAAATTGATATATTTATTCATATTTTACACGGACTGAAAAAAATATTGCTGCGGGTTGCCCATCTCTGTCATAGAGCACAGCATTACCAGTCCATAGAGAATAGTTAAAAATTTCTGTGAAAAAAATGGATTTAATATTTCCATTAAAAATATGTTTTTTTGCATTTTCACAAGCCATATTGTCTGTGATCATCGAAGATGATGCAGTAATCGACTAGTTGATCACAATCAACTTTACCTGTTCTATAGCTAACTTGGACAGAGTGAAAAATTTTGTCTAAAAGATTGTTTGGCAGTTTGGTTAATCACTTTTGTTAAACTTAAGAAATCTGACACCATGCTAAAAAATAAACCAAAATAACTGTTCAGTTTATAAAGCTGATATTTTTTAAAAGAAATTTATTTTATTGCAGTTGTTTAGTTTATTATTAAACATTGGGTTTTGAGATGTTTATATGTAAAATTTATTTTAGTCAATTACATCCTCAGTTTACAACAACTGAATCAATTGACTAGAATGATGTAGAACACATTTGAATACAATCTGTACACATTTGTATATAATAGAATTTTTTAAATTATAATATTCAGAATAATAATTGCTCTGTAACTAATTTTTCAATTGAATTATTGTAAACTGAAGATATTTGATGAAAAATGCTTCTTTTATTGAAAGTGTTGCTTTCTAAACTAAACAATTATTAGTTAATCTGTTCATTTGATTAGTGAAGTTTATCAAGTTGTTTGTATATGTTATATTAGTTAATCATTTGATACAGGTTGTATTTATAGATATTGTTATAAGTTATGTAAAATTATAAAAATTAACTGTCCTAAAACATAAGTTAAAAATAAAATATAAAACATAAATTATAAAACTTTGCTTATTGTAATCAGTTTTGGCTATAATGATCAGGTAAATAGTAGTTTTGAGCTAACTTTTTACATTATCAGCCTTAAAATGTGGCTGGCAATGTGCAATCACTATTAGGTATCAGCTATTATTAGTCTTAGCATTTTAAATGTTAATTGTTTTAATTGTTATTTGATTAAAGTATAGTCTTTTAAATTGCTAGGGTTTCTTGCTTCTATTATACACAGGTTTGTAAAGATGGTACTGCAAGAAATAATACACAAACAATACCGGATGAATTACTATATATTAATAATTATAATTAATAAATTGTCAAGTGAAATGGTTTTAATTGTTTCAATGTATCTTTTTAATGTCAGAATTAATAAAATCAGAATTTCTATTAATTGTCTTATTTACTTACCTCTGTTATCATCATCAGTATAAACATGTCCCAAATTAATTAAACAAGCAGATTTTACTGTATTAACATAGTCTCTCTTACTATATCTTATCTCAAAGAATTAAGTCTATGTTTGTATTTAAATTGAATTTAAAGTTTGATTTTATATATTCAATACAAGTTAACTATAGATTATAAATGTATTTTTCAGTTAGCCAAAACATCTCCTTTATTAAGCAAGATGGCTGATATTTATATAGTTGAAGTTGAAGATGTTCCTGTATATACACATTATTTTGATATCACTTTAATACCAGCTACAGTATTTTTTTTCAATGGACAGCATATTAAAGTTGATTATGGGTAAATGTATCATTTTTATATTATATATGTAGTAATTATTTTTAATATAATGTCAATATAAATAATTTATAAATCAATTTATATTTAAATATTTTAAATTATTTCAGGACACAAGATCATACAAAATTTATAGGATGTTTTCAAGAAAAACAAGATTTTATTGATTTAATAGAGGTTATTTATAGAGGTGCAATGCAAGGGAAGTTGATGATAAACTCGCCCATTGATCGAACAAAAATACCAAAATTTGACCTTTTATATAAAGATATATGAAATTTCAAGATGACGATGATGAAATATAAAGATTTATATAATGATGATTTACGATAATGAGGTTAGTCTTTGTAATAATTTAAAATTTTATAATAATAATACAGAATTTATAAAAATTTAACAAATATAAATAGTAACTTTATATTTTGTAATAGTAATAACAATAAAGTCTGTGTAAATATGAATCATAAGGTACTGAATTATTTTTTCTGTTTTGAATAGTTTTAGTATTTGTTTTTCTTCTTTTTATCTTTAAACTACATCATATAAATGTCAGAGTTATGTTCTTTTTATAGTAAAATCACTTTTATATGCATAAAAAGTTTTATTACTAGGTTTAAACGTAATTAATCAAAAGTGATTTCAAGTAAAGATAGAAGTATCAAATGTGAAAATTGAGAACTATTCATTTGATAAAGTGGCTGGAACAATAAGTATAAATATAGAAAATGTACAAAAAACAAAGTGAGAAGACACTTTTTAAAGCATTTGTAAAGTAAATTTATTGACTTTCTAAATTTATTTGATTGCAAAATGTTTTTGTTGTTCAAGAACTTGTTTTAGGTATGTTGATAGTTCTCAGAAAAATTAGCCTACATGACAGCAAACAAGACAATTCAATTATTAAGAACTTGCATCTCACTCTCCTGTCAGAAATTCTAATTGCATTAAATACAATAATACAGAGACTAAGTTGTTCTGTGGACTGCCATCTTGTGGAATTTTAATACTTTAATTAATTGTTTACTTCAATCTCTGTAATTATTAACATGTTAATCAACTTTTTTCTGAATACTTTGTACTAGTTAGTTACTAACTACTCCACAGAAGACAAATTTGCAGTACTGCATTCATTGTCTCACAGTAACAGTGAGAAATTGTCACATGTCTTTTGGCCCTGAAATTGGAAAAAATAAAGCAATTTTACTGTTGCAAATGTGTATCATAATCTATAAATAATTCTATATGTACAATTAGTCCTTTCAAGTTATTAGTCCTTATATGTACAAGTTATTAGTTTATTATATCTTAAAATTATGTAGAGGGACCTTCAATCTTTTGTGCTTGGAGTCCTGGAAAGTCTTAATCCATCAGTGTTACCTTATATTCATTGATTTCAAAAAATTACATTTGGTGCCTGTTCTTAAGAACTTGATTCTCCAAAACTCATTTGATTCATGAAGGAGTGTCTCGACTGTCGAAGGTGTTGGCGCGATAATCTCAAGAGAAGAGTTGATACAACATTGTGTGATAATGATTCGCTCTTGGAGGAAAATGCTACCTCAATTTAAGTGGAAGTATAACAAATGTCTTTCTCTGCTAGTAATATTATACCTATTGCTTATTTCTGGTATAGAACCTAACCCAGGACCTTTGCCTAGATCTCCTCAACGTGGCGGCCACACAGATATGCAAAAGAAGGGGCGTGGGAGGCCGCGCAGTGTCATTCCTAAAGCTACAGAAAAAATAAGAATATCTGGAACTAATTCCAGTCAAGAAATTCTGCTTGAAGAACAGGAGTATGATAGAGAGGAATTAAACGATGGGAGAACTCCAAAAATACAAGACTACTTTCATACTGTACAAGGAGCAGACACTCCAACAGCAGAAGAACAAAAATATTCGCTGAAATCCATATACGATTTGATTCAAGAAAAATTCAATCAATTAAACACCGAGTTACAAAATATCAAATCAGAAGTTAATTATCTGAAAGAAGAAAACAGAGTTTACCAATTGGAATCCAAAAGAGTAGCACAAGAATTGGAAGAAATGGATTCAATAATTAAGGATAATTCCCACACAAAAGGTGAGCTAGAATTTGAAATAGATCAATTATTAAATGAAAAAACGAACAAAAATATAGTAATTATTAATTTTCC